ACTTTACCGCCCACAGGGCTGTATCTCTCCAATGGCCTCTTATCAGGGGACAAATTGATCCTGGAAATAAGGGGTCATTTCCTGCGCCTGTTTACCTGCCCCTGGCCAACTACCACCCGACTGAAGCATTCACACTGCTTCTGACCCCGCTGTGCCCTCGGAGGACTATTGTGAAGAGGGCTTGAGTCATTTTTGGTCTTTACTGTGACGCCAAAGCAAGATGCGTTGGTATGAATCACAACTTTGTGTGGGTGTGTGTCACATAGGCCATGACATGTAGGACCTCTAAAACCTTGGGGACAGACAATCCACTTTATGTTGGTTTGTAACCTATTTAGACTTTGCGACGGCTCCGACTTGCAATGTTTCGAGATTACAAATACAGTAGTGCCTTGATTTATGAGTGCCACACATTTTTAGAGTTAGGAAGCGTCACTTGGTCGATCTTTTTGTTTCGTGTTACAAGTACACTTTACACAGATCAGATCGGCTGAATCGGACCAGCAGATGTTTTGCATAAAATGAAAATTAGTGGATTGAATATTTATCAGCATTTTGCGGATACTATTAGCAGTTTAATTGCTGTTATTGTTGACCACTAAATTTAAATGGGCGTCAATAATACGTGAAATTTGGCTATTCAAGGGTCGGGCCGGACCCAATCCTCCCGAATAGCGATGGTCAACTGTACAGTCAATAAATAAGTTGTTCAAATTTTGTTCAAATAATTTGCCTACTGTCAGATAAATTAATAAAAATTACTTGTGGCATTATTTTCTTGAATTATATTCACGTTTGCATGTAACACTAATTAAGGCCATTTCTCTGTAGCGTCTCCAGCATTGATAGCGGGCCAAAATGGAGCAACGTTTTTCAAAATTTCGCAGTTTGAACATTGGGAGGGAGCCATGATTTGAGTGGAATAGCTGAATAAAGGACTGTCAAATATTGTGGAAAATATCGTCAGGTCTTACATATTCCGGGTGAAACGAGGACGTGGTGCTTGTATATGCAAGTGTCAGTCCAACTTAGTTCCAGTGGTGTATCTCAAAGGTGTTTCATAGAAGTAGCTGTTGTTGGGAGTGTCATCACACCTTGGCTTGCAAGCTCTAGCCATGCATGATGAAACCAGTGCTGGCAAGTGAAATGTGAAGAAAAAAAAAAAAAAACAGAACAGAACACCTCCAATACTATTACCTGACTGAGTTTGAACATTGTATCACAGTTTTAGGATGATGCAAGCACACACCCCAAAAAAATATGGCATGATCTGGTGTCGCGGTTTATACTTATTGAACCTTTAAATCCCACATCTTTACGAACGCGCGCGGACGTACACTCCCCCTTAAATATGAGCTCCCCCGCCCCTCCTCCCCGCACCGCTGTCAAGCTTCGAGCCGTGTGACTGTAAAGAGTAACAATAAAGTATCTTATGACTGGAAGGCTTTTATTTGCTTTCAGGCCTTGAGCGGCATCTACACAAGACACACACTCCCCCCACACACACATTGTGCACAACAATAAACGCACAAAAATGGGCCAGGAGGCACAGAGAGTAAACTGCACCTCCAACTTGAGGATTTTCTAAACTCCTCCTTTGGGGGTGGAAGGCGGAAGATTCATCAGAAATGGCTGACCATCTCAGTCACCCTCAAAGCTAAGACACGCAATACCGCGTGATGCCACACAAACACACATCGCGCACGCAAAACCAATGATCAATTCCAATATCCCCACAAGTGATCCGGACAAGCTCCCGTCAGACACACGCACGGCTTAAAGCCCACGGGCCAGGTCAGTAAATATCATTACGGCATCAATGCACCATGTTATGAGTGTGCGCGAGAGCATGTGTGCACGCGTGCGTACGTGCGCCCAGCCCTTTCGAGCATTTCGCCAAACTTCACGTTTTGTTGATTGAAATGAGGTGGGTAGGGTATTACTGTCACATTCCCATCACGTCTGCTGCAAAGTGAATGCAAGAATGATTTCACGCACAGACACGCGCGCACACACTCTCACAGACACACTGTTGCACCATGTGCACCATGTTAAAATTCAATATTGTGTTCACACTCCTGAGCCAGAGTGGGAGCGCAGTCGGCGGAGGAGCAACAACCGTAGCTGCAAAAGTCACCAGCTCAAATGATGATGGGTCAGTGCATTCGTTCCAACCTACCAGTGTCGGAAGACCTGCTGACACCCAAGAGAGCACACAGAGTCCAAAAAACTAAGGAGGAGCAAAAGGCAAAACAAAAAAGGCTGCATGATCGTTCAGCAAAACACCTACCTGTGCTGAAGCCTGGAGACGTGCGCCTCAGGGACATTCCTACAGGGACATGGAAACAGAAGGGACAGGTGGAAGAGGAAGTTGCTCCACGCTCCTACAAGGTCCTGGTGGGAAATGGCCTAACTCTGAGGAGGAATCGCACAGATCTACAACTACAGTCATCAGTGGAGGATCCTGCGGTTCAAGACACTCTTCAGCAGGACACAGCTGGTTCGGGGGAGTTGGCTGACACAGGGCCTGTTCAAGCTGACCATGATATGACAACAGTGTCAATGTCACCTGCTGTTGAAAGGATGTCAAGACCTAAGAGACATGTTCAGCCGCCTAAGAGGCTAATTGAGAGTTGTTTAAAAAAAATAAATAAATAAATAAATAAAAAGTTTGTCTTGATGCTAGCAGTTGTATGATAAGGATATTTTTGTTGAAAAAAAAAGCTGTAACATGACCTTATTTTTAAGGGTGAATATAATTTCATGTGGTAATATTATTTCTTTAAAGGGGGGAAGATGTGATGTTATGAGTAAAATAACATAAGAACTTCATTACCCAGCATGCCACAGTAGTTAATGGTGGAGAGTGCAAGCTTGAAATAAAGAGTCCTCGAGTTCTACCCAACAGGCCTCGTCTCCTTAATTATATATTACGAGAGACAACGCACGTCCCATTTGACATTTTTAGTCTTTTATTTTATGAATGCTGGACATTTTCTGTGTTCAGTCGTGAATAAAGCCTTCATAAAATTTATTTTTTGTTCGGACAAGTCTATCATCGAACTGGCCAGACAGCTTTCGGATTGCAGCCCAGTTCAAAACACAGGTGTAATGCGCCCTCTTGTGGCCGGTTCTTTTCACTGTGACACATGGCAGCGTCTCACTGTTACCTTTTCTGCT